GGAAAATGCACCCTCCAGATTCTTAGGAGTTCACCCCTGCCAGTCCCGCTCCTGGCAATACTTACAGCTCTGCGGCCCCTTGCAAACCAACACCCTCTCCTGCTCTAGAGGGAGGATGTGAAAGCTTTAGAAAGCTTAGTCCAGTGAAAGTTAACTGTAGACAAAATAAAATGCAGTTAATTTTAAAATTTCCTCCCTGTCTCAATCTGTGTTCCCTTTCTTCCTATTTCTGTTGTAGAAAGGGAGACTGTCCAAAGCTTGCTAGGGGTGGATGTTGATTTTTACATGGCAGCTGTTCAGATGCTCTGGTGATTAGCAGCAGTAAAAAGTCTTGAGGAAGATAGGCGTGACATCAGAATCGGTTAAAACTTCCCCTCACAAGAGCTTTATAATCTGAAGTTAGACAAAAGATCTAATGGAAGGACAGTCATAGAATGTGGGTCAGACAGTGCTGAATACAAAGAAGGGTGATGATCAGGTTGGTGCTGCTGAGTATTTTGTTTGTTTTGTTACAGCAGGGTTAGAAAACAAGCGTTGAAAAGATAAAACCCAACTTCCTCTCAGCTAGGACTTACTTAGACAGACCTTTGCTTTCCCACAGTAGCTACTGTCTTTAAGGTCTTCCCTCCTGCACTGTCAGTACTACTGAGATTTTCAGCTTAGCTTGCATCTGATAGAAGAATAGAAATGAACGCTTACAGTTTGCAACACATTCAAACTGAGGAGGGAGAATGACGCAGCTAAGAGGAGTGGAGTTACGGACAGAGCAATGTAAGGAAGGCCTGGGGTGGGCGTCACAGCACTATTCTGTCTTCTTTATGCCACGCATCCCTGCCACCTCCATCCCTTCTCAGCTGTGTGGTAAATTCTCCCCAGCAAGGTTGCTGGGAGGAGGGGTGGAGGGGAAGGGTAGGGGGTTAAAAAGATGAAGAACTGCTGGCTTGGACAGGAAATTATGAGGAATAGCAAAGCCAGAAAGTCAGCTTCTGTGAAATCTGTAGTTTAACCTACCCTGGGAAAGTCTCCTTTCATTGCAGTACCCAGTCATTGCAGCTCCTTTGTCTTTTCCTGGGTCATAAACACTGCCTCTGAGGTCCCAGCCACAAGAATAAGGGTGGGAAACCTCATGTTGTGCCTTGTAATAGTAGACGTGATTACAAGCACAGACTGCTGCCTCTATGGGTCATTTCGTGCTGTGGACATATACCTAAGTTGGTCATTTAAACCACCTGTCTCATACATCCACATTACAAGACACCCCACAGCTTGCGTGCTGCTTCATCTGGCACCTGGGGGAGGAGATGCAATGATGTATACAAGCACTTCCATTACCAGTTTCAGGCCTAATGCTGCTAACCCTTCATCCTCATGAAATTCCCTTCAAGCCCCCTCTGACTGACAGCGATCACAGGCATATGCATTATAGAGTGGAGTGACTGCTGCAGGCTTAGTGGATCTTGCTTCTTTTTCCTTTTCAGGTTACCAAAAATGAACGACAGGTGATGAAACCGTTGTATGACAGGTATCGCTTGGTCAAGCAGATCCTCTCCAGAGCCAACACCATCCCTATCATTGTGAGTAGAGCGTTCTTTTGGGGGCTATTTTTTTGGTTATGAGCTGAGGAAACGGGAATCAGCACACTTTTGCATACAGTGCAATCACTAAGGCCAAGTCCCAACCTCCCTTATCACTCAAAGATCAAGTAAATGAATGAATGAATGACACACCGTATACTGAAGCCGGGCAAAGCCGGTCAAGGAACTCTAGTGCCCACCCACGAGCCATGGGGCACATGTCACCTTGTGTTGTTTCTCCTCTTTCCATTGGGCTGCTGCTGTTATTTCATCATCTTGTGTTTGGCTACAGCCTCACTTCCCTTTGCTTACCAATCCACTCTGAGCTGTAGGTCTTCCATGCTGCTTGGTTACACAGGATCGTATGTCAGGAACACAGACTTGTGTGGGTCCCACAGGAGATACCAGTCTCCTTGGCTGAGAGAAAGGGCCAATAGTCTCCTAACACTTCATTTCTGTTAAAGGGATCCTGCAAGTGGTGGATATTCCCTCATTCAAGGTGGTGCTTTGGCAAGGAGGCACTCCCACCTGCAAGGAATCCAGCATACCCCTCGAGGGAGCAAATGCACTGTCTCTAATTTCAGACAACTTGCGTAGGCCACTTTTTGAAAATCATTTGGTCTAAAAAACACACACAATACTTTCAGCCTGTCTATGGCAAGAGAATTGTTTTATTGTGGTTCCTGTTTACTCTGTCTGTCATGTATGATCCTTTACTTTTTTTGCTGATTCCAAGCAGCGCTGATGTCCCAGCTGCTTTTCGTAGACCGTCAGTAAAGTGAATGGACTGGCACAGGATTACTCAGTGCAGTCACACTGAGAAGTGGGGTTGTTTTTTTTCTACAAATAGCGGGAGGTGGTCCTGTAGTCAAAACAAGACAAAAAGCTGTTCCTCCTTGAATATGCAAAGTACTCCCCAAAACGTGTGCTGTGAAGATGGTGCTGGTGATCAAGAAGGAAGAAACTGTGTAGCTGTGCACGGGCAGTTTAACACAAAGCTCTCAAAAGAGACTTCAGGTCCTGTTTAGACACAAAACTGAAAGTGCAGCGTGGCTGGCAGAGGAGAGACGAGACTGGCTTTCCCCGGCCCCTTGAGTGAGAACAGTGGGCAGCTCGCGCAGAGGCAGGATACATTTGAAAATCTACGTCATTAGGCACCTCAGTGGGAAATGAGGCTCCTGGAAAGCAAGGCTGGAGAGTCTACCTGGGCTTGCGCGGTAGCTCTGGAGAGGCAACCAAATGGGGAAGGGGGTGTACGGGCCTCGGGATGGGGATTATTTTCTTGCAGCCTTTACTTTGTCGTTCCTGCCCAGCTAGTATTCCAGCATCCAAGCTTTTTTCTTAGAAGTGTTTGGCAGTGATATCCCTTGCTAAGCAACATCCTGAGAGAAAACAGCCTCAGGTTCAGGGGGTTTGCCAGGCATGTTTTTCTTCTTTAAGAAATAGATTTCTCCTGACGGTCCAGCGATGAGCTGAGTGAATGTGTGGGTGAGAATGAGGTGAGAGCAGGTGGTGGAGGAGAAAGGGGTTCATAATGTAACATACTTGTTAACACCTGTCACAGGGTTCCCCCTCCAGCAAGCGGAGAAGCCCTTTGCTGCAGCCAATTATCGAGGGCGAAACAGCTTCCTTCTTCAAGGAGATAAAGGTGAAGACCTCCAGCTGCTAACTAATTGCTCAGTTTGCATCAATTTTCCCCTTATACCAATGAAAGAGAATGATTGATTGAATATTTTTTTCCCATCAGTGTTGATTTTTTTGCAGTGTCCTCCTGAAAAATCAGTAGCTGCTTTTAAGCCTCGCCAGTTCTGATCAAATTCTTCCCTTGTTGTAGAAAAGACTACAGTATTTCCTTGGCTTTGCATTCTTTCCCATCCTTCCCTTTCCCCTCCACCTGCACATAATATATTTTATTTGCTTTTTTTAAAAAAAAAAATCACAACTACCTTTGTACCTTGCTTTCTTCTTGCTTTCTTCCTTTCTTTTTAATGACACTAACTTGTTTTGTGGTAGTTTCTCTCACTTTAAAGCTCTGTGGCTTGCACACAGCACCGTGGCAGGAATGAGCCCTCACAAAACTAACACTCACACGTGGAGCCAACTGGGGCACTTACGGGATCTGTACCTACTCCCATTCACATGCTTATTTTATCCAGGGCTGTTTGTCACCACCTTGTGAAGGGTATTTCTAACCAAGTCACATGAGGATGGAAGTAAGAACAACTCGGTTCCGCTAGTTAACGCTTGGTCAGATTTGGATGGCAGCATTGTTGTGTTTCTTTCTCGTGCTGCTGCGGGGAAGTAATTCTTGGTAGTGAAGAAATTCTTGGTGGGGAAGACAGGTACAATATCAGGCCTTCTTGCCCTGAGAAGAAGGGAAGTCCAATGGTTCACTAGGACACGCAGCGCGGAGCTGGGCCCTGGATTGCTTTTGTTGCCCTTGCAATGTAACAGGGCAAAAAGGCAAAAAGGTGCTTCAGCACACTTGGGTCATATCATAGAATCATAGAATGGTTTAGGTTGGAAGGGACCTCGAAGATCATCTTGTTCCAACCCCCCTGCCATAGGCAGGGACATCTCCCACCAGACCATGTTGCTCAAAGCCCCATCCAGCCTGGCCTTGAACACCTCCAGGCAGGGATGGGGCTTCCCCAGCTTTTCTGGGCAACCTGTTCCAGTGTCCCACCACCCTGAGTGAAATTTATCCATTATCCCGCCAGAGTTTGGTTAATGGTGGAAATACTGCAGACCTAGACATTCAAGGTGGTTTGATTATTAGTCAGTTACAGTAGATTGTATATTAATGGACTATTCAAGGCATATATTCATTAAAACCATAGTGCAGACTGAAGATGTTAAGCTGCTGTTGGGAGGCTGGTTAGTCATCACCGAGTTCTCGCTATTTTTAGGTAACTGCTGGATCAAATCTGCAATAGTAGTCTGGTGGGGTGTATTTTTCTTTGGCTTTATTTTATTCTTTTAGTGTGTCCTCTATTTTTCACACACGCTTGCACCCAGAGTCAAAACTTAGCTATCAATTATGGTGATCTCTGATGACCAGCATGGCTGCTGCTGCGCCAGGGCAGCATTGCACCAGCTCAGCAGTGCCCTGCAGCGAATATGAACCTTAAGAGGTTTCTGACTGAAGATCAGGGTGACAGCCTTAAGCCCATTACCACTTAACTGCCTGTTAACACTTAAATGGGGCCTTGTGAAGCTGCACCTGGCAGCTTTGCACTACACTACACTCAGAACCAAAGAGAGGAAATTGCCAAAAGGCCTCAAAACTTAACCCCTGCATAGGTCCACTATGGGCAGAGCACTACCTGTCTTGATGGCTTCAACACTGTCAGGTTTTTTGATTATTTTTTTTTAAAAAGCATTTGGGAGAGTTGGGTAAAAGCTTCAAAGGACATTTGCGGTGAAGCCTTACCAGACATTTGAGTATAGTATCTTGAATATTGTCTGTGTTGAAAAAATCATCAGGAAGCTTGCTTGCTGGGAGTGCTGACGATGGGATACTCTGGAGACTTTATATTTGTAACTCTGGAAAATGTAAATACCTCATGGTTGCCTAAAGATCCAAGCAGGTGCAAGCCAAATGGATGTAGTCAATGAAGATCATTCTGGTTTGAGGTGTAAATGCCAGTGCAGGATTAAAATGAGATTCCCATGTGAGACTTGTTTAAAGTGAAGGCCCTAGACGGCCATTTCCATTTGAGTTCTCACTAAGAATGCTTTTAATTCACTCCTTCGTTTTAAACAGCAAAATGCTTTAAGAGGTCTTTTGACAGCCAGATGTAGTGTTTTGGCACTGAGGTCTAAACAAGTGAAATTTCTACGCTTTCTTTTCCTCCCATGGGCTTCCGTTGGCAGGAGTCTCGCTCCTGAGCTCTGGGCCAGAGTAATCCTTGCTGGCTTGGGCAGTGCGCTGGTGCCCTGGAGCGAGGCAAGCGAAACGGACTCATGGGCATCTGTGGGGAAGACACTTCACATCTGTCCTCGGGAGCAGTTTGTCACACTGCTTATGAAAATTGTCCCTTTCCTTTCCCTCCAGAAGGGGAATCCAGAAGCCACTTGCTCTCCCAGGAAACGGCACAGGAGCTCCTCCTTCAGTGCCAGAAAGATTCCCCTAAAATTGCGTACCGTTTTACTGCTTAGATTGATTTAGCAAATCCTCCTCCATGGCACAGCAGGATCAGGGTTCTCCTGCTTCAGTCCTTGTTGCCCTGACCCGGCAGGGCAGGACAGCGTGCTTGGGGACTGGTACACGGCAGCGAGCAATGGTCTCCCCTCCCCAGCCCAGCCTGAAGTTGTTTGCAGGGTTTAAGGACAGTACATGGCTGCTGTTTTACGCCTTCTGTTTAAACTATATAAATTACGTCTGGAGAAATGGTCTTACCTAATCATACGCTAAATATTGCTATAACTTTCCCAAGTTCCCTGCAGATTTTCCTGAGATGTTTTCAAACTTCTCTGTATCTTTTATTGTTCCTCAAAACTTCTTTCCAGCTAATCTTTTTTTCATCCTCAAGCCTCCATCTTGGTTGTAATTCTCAGCCTGTGGCTTTGCATTGCATTTTGATGGCCTAGAGCTTTAACATCAAAAGAGAACTCTGGGCAAACTCTGATTTCACGTAGATGTATGCATTTATAAATCACTGACTTTGAGGATTTATGGGACTATGCCGGGTCCTAGTGTTACTTTCTCCCTTTTTACTTGAAATATGGGAGCAATCTCTTAGGAGCAATAATTTAGACTATTCACAAGGAATCACATGAAAAAAGCAAAGAAAATTACTTCTTTTGATCCCAGTGCAACAATATATTTTTGCATACACTTGAAGACTTCAATGATACTAGCCCTTAAAAGCTTTTAAAGATATGCATGTGCTTAGATCCTTCCTGGCTAGAGGTACATGGTTCTAAAATAAATATATATACATAGCTATGTAAGAGACTTACTGTCCATGCTGGCATTTATTACCTTCCTCTAATGCTCATGCCTCATTTCTTATATCAAGGTTGAAAACTGCCTTCCAGAAATGTCTCTGTAAGTAAAAGAAAACTGGTCCCTGTTCCCTGAAAATCCAAATGATTTCTGGTCAGTGTTGCAGGACAAGCCCTACATTTGAGAACGCTAATGAATTAGCAAGTACCAAGTGCAGCAGAGACTTCCAAATCTCGTGCCTATAAATTTTGTGAAAAATCTGAATACAGCCAATTCATAAGTGTACTTTGGGGAGGTTGCACTGGGCAGGGTGTTTGCACTCCAATTCTTAGTGTATTCCAGCTAAATGGTATAGACCTGATGTCAAGAACACATTAGCAACAGCAATCTTTTTACAGTCAGTCATATCCCACATTTGGGCCACTGAAAGACTGATCTGAGCTCATTGATACCAGTGTATGAGCATTTGAGGTCTTGAATTCAGCCATTAGAGAGAGCTGTTGAGCTGCATCTATTGAGAGGTTATTTCACATTTTAGCCCCGCAATCTGTATCCTGCCAGGTGTATATGTAGAGGATGGCTGGTATGCTTTAGACAGTATGCATAATGACTGTAAGTGGTTTTATTTACATCAGACTACATCAATTAAAGCAACAGGTTGGTAAGAACCCCGGGTATTTTTTCACTCAGTTTTGTTGCCTTGGGTGTCCTTAACCAGTCTGAGTTGGTGGTTGCAGTTTCTCTGACATGCTTTGGGTATAGGGTGTCTTACTGATGGTCTTCTGGTGTCCTGTATTGCTTAGCAATTAAAGTGCTTGCTCTGCCTATCCACTTCTTCTCATACCTGTTCCCCAGTGCATGTGGTGAAAGGAGGTGCCTGTTTCTGAGAAGGGAAGCAGTAACCTATTCTGTTACCGTGGTGTTCTGTCCCTCTCTATAGGAGGAAGAGGAGGGGTCCGAGGAGGACAGCAACGTGAAGCCAGATTTCACAATTACCATGAAAACAGATTTCAACGTGCGTAGCTTCTTGGATCAACTAGAAGATGATGCTGATGGCTTTGTTTCGCCAGTGGATGATAAGATGCCATCTAGGAGCAATCAGGATATGGGGCTTTCAAATCTCCATGAAGCATCCATGTATGTTGAATTCGCAGGCAACTTCAAGACGTTATTTCTTGCTAAGATAGCATGTTATTTGTTGGCAAAGTGTCTAGATTTTAATTTTATTTCCATTTATGCTGTGAGTCAGAATTTTTTGCCCTTTGTTTTTAAACACAATAGACCCTCATATGAAAAGGTTTGGGAAGAAACTACCTTGTCCTGATACTAATATTTGACTTCTGTATCCTTGGAATCTAGCACTAAATAGCAGCTCCACTTAACCAGTGGCAAGCCTTTATCACGTAAACAACCCTGTACTCAACAAGGTTTTTCAGGAGAGGTCAAACCGCCTTGCTCGACTTCAGCAAGGCTTTTGACACTGTCTCCCGTAACATCCTCATAGGTAAGCTTAGAAAGTGTGGGTTAAACGAGTGCACAGTGAGGTGGATTGAGAACTGGCTGAGCTCAGAGGGTTACGATCAGCAACGCAGAGTCTAGTTGGAGACCTGTAACCAGCGGTGTTCCCCAGGAATCAGTACTGGGTCCAGTCTTGTTCAACATATTCAACAACCCAGATAAGGGGACGCTGTACCCTCAACAAGTTTGCTGATGACACAAAACTGGGAGGAGTGGCTGACACACCAGAAGACTGACATTCAGCAAGACCTGGAAAGGGTAGAGTGTTGGGCAGAGAGGAACCTAATGAAGTTCAACAAGGGCAAGTGTAGGGTCCCGCACCTAGGGAGGCATAACCCCATGCATGAGTACAAGTTAGGGGTTGACCTGCTGGAAAGCAGCTCTGCACAGAGCAACCTGGGAGTCCTGGTGGACAAGTTGACCATAAGCCAGTAGTATGCCCTTGTGGCCAAGAGGGCCAATGGTATCCTGGGGTGCCTTAAAAAGAGCGTGGCCAGCAGGTCGGTGGAGGTTATCCTCCCCCTCTACTCTGCCCTGGTGAGGCCGCATCTGGAGTGCTGTGTCCAGTTCTGGGCTCCCCAGTTCAAGAAGGACAGGGAATTACTGGAGAGAGTCCAGCAGAGGGCCATGAAGATGATCCAGTTCCTTGATCATCTCTCTTAGGAGAAGGAGCTGAGAGACCTGGGTTTGTTTAACCTGGAGAACAGAAGACTGAGAGAGGATCTCGTCAATGCTTATAAATATCTAAAGGGCGGGTGTCAAGAGGATGGGGCCAGACTCTTTTCAGTGGGGCCCAGTGACAGGACAAGAGACAACAGGCACAAACTGGAACACAGGCAATTCCGTCTGAACATAAGTTGGACTAGCTTCGCTAATTTTAAGCACCTAGGTCTGATGGGAACACACATAGGTGGTAGCTTTCAGTCATGGCCATTGATTCTTGATCCTATGAAAGTCACCAAAACCAGACCCATCTTCAGCAAGTAAGTTTCACAGAAGTTAATGGGGAATTGTGAAATGCGCCCTTGACCTCCTTCTGAAGAGGCTTCAGCTGAAGTCTATGATCGTTTTGCTGAACTGAATTCAGAAAGCTTTTTGTTGCTAGTAACATCAGGTTGCCAGAGCTGCTTGCAGGAGCTGCTCCGTTGCTTGGCATACATACAACTGTACATTTGTAGATTTGCTGTATGTTTCCTGTTGTAATCGTGTGCATATGTATAATCTTGTTTATGTTTAAACCCAACAGCCCTGAACTGTTAGAGCAGCTCCAAGAAGTCAGGGAAGAGAAGAAGCGAATCAGAAAAAAATTGAGAGACTTTGAAGATAATTTTTTCCGACAAAATGGAAGGTAATAATTTCTCAGCTGTCTCTCTGTCCTTCAGCTACTTTTAATCTGTTTGGCATCCACAAAGACCTCCAAATATGGAAAGTTACCAGAACTGACATATTTCTTCATCATCGTTGGTGTTTTACCCACATTCATTGCAGTTGCCCATTAAAATGAATTACTTCCCCCTTACCCCCCCCCAACCCCCCCCCAACTTTAGGGACCACAGCCTCTTTGAAAACTTGGTCTTAGGACAAGCAGCAGGAAGCAAAAATATGAACTGGGAAAATCCAGCTGCCTCTAGCACCACTGACAGCAATGGTAGAAGAGTTTCTCAATGGTAGAAAAATTTCTCAGTGGTAGAATAATTGGGGATTTTCCTAATGATGTATGTTTAGATTTTTGTCCTATTCTTGCTTGTCTGTGAGGTATTCAGACAGTAGTTTAACAAGTATGTGTAGCTGGTTTTAATCATTTTCAGAAAATGTCCCTCATTAATAAGCTAATAGAATGCTGTAATAGATTTATACTCTTAAATTATCATGTTAGTTTCTTACCACCAGCTGTCATCCGTAGAGGTTCTTGTAAAACCACTGTGAAAACTTGAGAGTTTCATGTAAGCTGAGAGAAATCTGTTCAGATATCTTCTTCCTTTTCACAAGTGTGCCTGTTCACGTAAGTGATGTGGTGCCAAGCCAGAAGAAGCTGTGTTTTATTTTGCCGCGCCAGTGGGCTGACATTCAGATGGCTCCTGAAATGGGAACAGCTCTTCTGTCTTTTTTTCAGCTGTTGTGTAGAGGCTGGTGATTTTAGAGAAGCAGGACACGCTTTCAAATAAAGTCTTGCATTTGGAACCATGGGATTGTGTTTAGCCTCAATATGCAAGCATCCCACGCTTTGTCGGAGCAGAGTTTTTGCCCCTCTTGGTTTTTTCCTCTCAAAGGATAGAAGTTTTGGTTTTGTTCTCTGATGGGGAGTGGAGGAGAGAAGCTGCTGCTTCGTAGGTCTTGTTGAGGGACGGAGGGAGGCTGCTGAGGGAAGATGTCCTGTTACAGAAATCCTCATGACCTGCTTTCACTCCCACTAGGAATGTGCAGAAGGAAGACCGCACTCCTATGGCTGAAGAATACAATGAATACAAGCAGATTAAGGCCAAGCTGAGGCTGCTGGAGGTCCTGATCAGTAAAAGAGATATTAGCTCCAAAATCATGTAAAGGAGGAGATTGGTTTTGCCCGTAAACAAAGAAGAGAGAGCACCAAATGGACAAATGCATGAAGTGGACGCAGCGGGAGCCTGGCTGGGGAGAGCTGAGGAGCTCCCTGGGAACTGAAGGGCCATTCCCAGAGGCGGGAGGGGGAGAAAAGATGGCTTTCCTTCACTCTCTGCACTTGCTGTTGCCCACTGTTTCTTCAGGCCCGATGCCCAAAATGGAGTTTGCCAGTGTAGGAGACATGACACTGCGCTCAGTGACTGCACTGAAGGGATCCTTCCGTTTTGATTTGCTTACATATCCTGTAATATTTAGAATATTGAAGCCAGCCATGCTCTTCTGTTTTCCCAGGATATCATAGCAAGAGGCAAAGTAGGATGAATAGTGATTAAATCATCAAGTAGCTTCTACTTTAGTTTAACAGGCGAGTGCCCTGGCTGATCTCATGTGAAGGCAGAGGTCAGATAGCGCCAAGACTGTTCTCTTGCAGCTACAGTAAAGATTTGCTCAGACTTTTGACCTGACTGTTTGGAGTCTAGCATCTTCTGTTGCTCGAGATAAATGCTGTAAGAATCTCTCGGTCATCACCCAGAGCTGGTTTGAGTTACTGTTTTGCCCAGGCTTGAGTTGGGTTTTCTTCCCGCTTTTTTGATGGCCGGTTCGATTGAAGTAGAAGACAGTACCTACATCTGTTTGGGATAGCAAAGAAAATGAGCTGTGCAGCAAGGTCCTTGCTGGCTTGTTCTGCTTGGAAGGAGATACTGTAACATTATGACCGTGTTTGGGCAACTGGGAAGAAAAGAGGTTTTAAAAGCTTTAAGTCAGAATCCCTTGGGATTTTGGTAGCTGATCAGTTCAATGTCTGGTGTCAATAAATCTGGAAGATACCTAGAAGACCCACCCCATTAGTACGTGTGCTTCATCATCTGATACAAATGTAGGAGTCTGAGCTGAACAGCCCACATGGGTGTCATTCATACTCACTAGCCTAAATTTTGTTCTTTTATGCACACTGTCAATCAGACTATGTGGGCTGCAGCAATGACACTGTGATGGTGGCATCAGAGGATGGTCTGTTCTTCCTGGTGTGTATAGGTGGTGTACCAGCACAGAGGATACTGCAGGGAACCAAAAGCCCAGAGCTGTGCTCTGCCCATGGAAAGGGCCTTTGTCTCAGGTGCAAGTTTTGACAATTCAGCATTTTCAAATTCGTTTATGACTTTCTAAAAAGAAAGTCCTGGGACACCTGTTTCAGCTGCTGGTGTCAGACAGATGCTGCCTGAAGGAGTGAAAGGCAGCAAGTTCAGGAACGCACCGAGTAGCTGAGGGCTCAGAGTTCTGCAGTCCCGGGCCACCTGGATCTCCCACCCCAGAGGCTTGTGTGCACCAACTCACTCTGCCCTGAGCCGGGGCTGATGTCCCAGACCCTGATGGCCCAGGGAGAGCATCTCTGTAACGCTTTCTTTGGCATCGATCCCCTGGGCAGCTAATGTGCAGAAGCCAAATGGCTGAAATCAAATGCAGTGCCAGTCGTCACGCAAGTCACGCTGGAGGAGGCAAGAAGAGGACCTCCAGAACAACTTCTACCTTTTCTTTCTTTACATGGGCAAGTGGGCTCACAGATAGATATATTTGGGTTGTGGTACTTAGACTTACCGCCTTCCACTTGCTGCATGTTCTGTGTTAATTCTTGCCAATGCTGAGGGTGTTTTGGTCTCTTCAGGATCCCACAAACACTTCAGAAGGCGGCCTTCTCCCTGTGGGTTTGCACGTGCCCATAACTAGTCTGGGTGGGTGAGGCAGTGATGTGCGTGCGTCAGTGAAAGCACTTAGGAGGGCGACTCCTGGGTTGGTGGGGTTTTTTTTTACTGGTTGCAGAATTGCCCTTTCTGTATAAAATCAGTGAAGACTGAATTTCCTATTTCCAAAGAGTCCGGAGGACTTGTGTGCTGACCTGGGGCTTGGCTTTTCCGAAATGCTGAGTTTCCATCGCTTGAGAGATGCGGGGCTCTGCCTCTGCAAAACTCATCCTTTGAATGCGTTAACTGGGCTGACAAATGGGCTCAAAACCTGCTTTTGAAGGTGTTTGACTGGAAGGGAAGCCTGACTAGGGTAAAACCCTGTCTGAACACAGGGCAGCCCGGGAAACAGCTGTGCCTTTGTCCTTCAGCCTGCTCTTACGGGCTCTTCCTCTCAAGAGTCCATAGTGATTTTAGGTATGGCAGCTGAGCCAAACGGGCTGCGGTGTCACTCTACTAGTAGAAGTGCGGGATGAGAAAGGATGTTGGGTTACCAAAATGTCCTTAAGCGCTGGCTCGGTTTGGGATTGTTCAGGCCCGGTTCTGCAAAGCTAAAACACGCGTGGTGAGCGTGTGCCTCAGGCTGGTCAGCGTTTGGGATTTTGCTGAGTGACGATGGACTGAAGCTTGGGTGCTTTGCTGAATTTGGGCCCGGACATCTTTATATGGATAAGAGAAGCAGTTTTTGCCCTTTCCTCATAGTCGTACATTTTTCCAGTGGGCCAAGGCTTCCCGGGAGTATGTTTTCTCTGCTTATTTTTAAAAGCCTGTTTGCACTGTGTACTGATAAATTATCTGTTTTGCTGGGTTTTGCCCCTGACAAATCTTGATAAATGATATGTAGGGAACAGTCCATTTTATTTTTAAACTGATGAGATTGTAGCATTTTCTGATGCTTAGTTACCGCTGTTTACATGGTATATTGCTAGAATTTCAGATAGTTTATATGAAATGTAAGTACAATTATGCACTTTAGAGAGTTTATATTTTTGAACTTTGAAAGCTAAAAGTAACAAAAAACCTGTTAACTGAAATTGTACATTAAAAGAAAAAAAAACACACCTACCCATCTCTCTTTTGAAACCGTTCTTTTCAAGTCTCTCCCCGTGGCAAAAAATAACATCATCCACCTAGTTGCGAAGGGAACGGCTAGGAAAGACCGTCGTAGAGAAGAAGTGAATTTTAAAATTCCAGTCCTGGAAAGACACATACAAACACTCGACTTTCTGTCCTGGGTTTGCAGATGCTGTGACTCCCCTCTCCCAAGCCTGCGCAGGAGGAGGGCTCCAAGGCCTGAGCACTAAAATGTTGTCTTTGTGTCTCCCACAGGTGATTTGAGTTCCCACTAACCACAAATAACCACAAATAGCCACAAACGATGTTTGCCCCGTCACACTCCTCCAAGTCAATCCAAGCAACATCTGTGCGTTTTGTTTGATGATTTGTCTATGCCAACATCAATGAGTATTGACTGGAGAACATTAAATACGAGACTTGTGTTTTTAAAAGGTGTGAAGTACTGTACAAAAATCTACTTTATGTGATATAAATAAGCTGTTATAGTATAAGACAACCTGTTTCCGTGTCCCTAGAACAAACTGTCTGCTGTAGGATGGCAGTACGGTCTGTTGGGCTTCCCATCGGCTGAGGCCATTTCAGACACGCGTGGCTGTGTGTTACCACGTTGTGGTATAATAAATGGTTGTGGTTTGTTTAAATGATGACGATGGACGGGTTGTGGACAAAGTAAGATTGCGAGAGTTAAAGACAGAGGAAAAACTTGTCATTCTTACCAGTTGCATTTGGTTTTATTCTGTTTACTCCTGAGTAAACAGTCAAACACTGAATGTTTATGTTAAAGGCAGTGAAATTAAAGCATCTGAATTTCTAATCATTCTTCTAAGACATCGGTTGTTATTCCTGGTGTGTGCGAGTTTTGGATGGTAAGTGCTGCAGCCTGAGTCCTCGTTGGAGATGTTTGCAAATCAGTGATCGTTGCTTGAAAGGAGCTGCTGAGGGGAGAGCGGGGCTGTAGCCTGTGACCGTCCCCACGGTGCCCAGGGACGAAACTCACCCTGTTTGTGCGGCCACTCAGCGGGGCCGTCCCAGGGCTGCGCTGATGCCATTCCCACCAGTGGTCCTTGATGATGGCCACCACACAGAAGCAGAGCTGCCAGAGGCCGGGCACCCGGTGTGGGCTTTGTCATGCGTGAGACCAGCAGGGGCTCGGTGTATGTACAGGGTGCAGTGCTGTACTTGGGCTTGTTCTTCAGCTTCCTTCAGCTTCACTGTTTCTGGTTCCCATCTCTTGGGGAAGGGATCCAAGGACTTTTGGCTGCTGGGGAGGGGAGGCGACTTTGCTTGCTCATGTGCAGATGAGGAAGTTAACTTTGCATTGGAGAACTGGAACAACTGATGCATTCGTTGACCCTCTAGAGTGGGATAACTCGATGGAAATGGTGGGTCACTTCCTTCCTATCTCTGGTACTGCCGTATTCCCGAGCGGCAAAAAAGACCCTTATCCCAGTGGGTGTGCTTAAAAAGTGCTTTCTGGGTTGGCAGAGGATGCCGATTCCAGCAATATCCCCTGCATGTGTTACAAAAAATGCTGTTTGTTAGCGCTGGGAGCATCCACAGAACCAGAGCGAAACCTGGGCTGCGCGCCTGTTGCCTCCCTCGTGGGCTGCGGGGATTTCACGGCTGTGTGCGTGGGGAAGTGATGTTCATTTGCCCTGGGGAAACACTGCAGTGGTTCACGTGCACGGACTGTGTTGGGGCCTGACCCTGCTGCTGATGGAGTTCACAGCCATCTCCTTACTGACCGCAGCAGGAGGGTGGCCCGTGGGGTGATGTGTGTGCTCAGTGTGGGTACCAGCTCTTGGCCATACCGGGAGTCAGCTCTTCCAAACTCTTCCTCGTGCGGTTTGTGATACTGGCCCGGCTGCAAGAATTTACTTGTTCAGAGAGAAATCTCTCCCTATGTCTGAGTCACCGAAAATCCCTCTCTCGCGCTGTGAAGAGCAGCTGCTTTTCTTACGTGCTGCCCCTGTGGTCCCTGCTTCGGAGTGGATGAGATGTATTAATGCTGGTAAGCAGGGTCCTGTTGGGGTTCAGGGGCAGACGAGCCCTTACAAACATTTAAACAATGCATAACACAACTGTTTTCCAGCCGTAACATGGTAAATGGCGCATGCAGCTACTGAA